TCCATGGAAATTATGTGTTATGGGAAAAAATGTGCATTTCAAATTTTGTGGAACAAAATAAAATTACCTTTAGTTTCCATTTTCCCTGAAATCTTAAAGTCTGTCTGCTAAAATATAAGAAGTGTGTCTTTCTTAGAAATAACTGAACGTGATTTAATATATTGAGAAGCTGTTACGTATGACCATGATCATGATCAAACAGTTGAACAAGCCGGAGTTGTGAGCTATCATTACATGTACTAGTGTAACAAGATACTCTCTGCTTTATTTTTATATCATAAATGATACAACACCCACAAGTATTTCACTGCAGATAACAAATGATAAAATCTTGCCTGATCATCATGCTTTTTCGGATTTAATGATTTGCTACCAAAAAAAAAAAAAAAAACTGTGGTGGTAAGAAGCATATTTGAAAAGAATATTTGACACATTCATCTAGCATTAATTAACCTGATTTTTTTAAATGTGCAATATTTTGCGCTAGCTGACTCGTCAGCAATGGTGAAAGTGCCTTTTTAAAAACTTATCATTTAAAAATATTTTTATTATCATTTCTTTTATTGAAAAGTCAGAGATAGAGAGAGGAGGAGAGACAGAGAGAATGACCTTCTGTTCGCTGATCACTCCCCAAGCGGCTGCAATGGCCAGAACGGAGCCAATCCAGAGCCAGGAGCCCGGAGCCTGCCTCTGCCGAGTTTCCCACGCAGGTGCAGGGTTTCAAGGCCCTGGACCACCCGCCGCTGCTGTACCAGGCTGCAAGCAAGGAGCTGAATGGGAAGTGACGCTGCCGGGATTAGAACTGGAACCTATCTGGGATCCTGGCGCGTGCAAGGTGAGGAGTTTAGCTGATAGTTTTTCTTCTATTTATGTAAAAAGCCAAAGGGCAAAAAATCCCTAGAGAGAGAGAGATTGAGAGAGAGAAAGAGAGAGATCCCATTCACTGATTTGTTCCCCCAAATGCTGATAATGACTGGGGCTAGGCAGACAAAAGAAGGAGATACAAACCTAACAGGGTTTTATAACGTGAGTGAAAGGGACCCAATTCCTTGAGCCTTCAGTTGCTGCCCCCCAGGGTCCAATCAGCAGGAAGCTGGAAATCCAAATTCAACTGCATCTGGAACTCGGGCTCTCCAGGCTGGGAGGTGGGTGTTTCTAGAGACCGGCCCCTTGTCCGTATGCTCATGCTGTCTACTACCTTTTCATAGCACTCTCACACCGAATGGGCCAAGGATCACAGGAAATACCACCTTCCAGCACTTCAAATCCAGCAAAAATTGACATCTTTCACAGAGAAAACAAGCCAAGCAAATGTTTTAATTAGAACGTATAGCTGGAATGCAAAAACAGTTTGAGGCTGATGTTTCATCCAACGAAGTAAGAGGTGTTGAAAATGAATTTGCACCAAAGAGAAGAAATGATGTGATTAATATTTTAACCATCAATATCACTTATATGTATTCAAAAACGGAGATAGTTAAGTAATCCTGAAGAAATCTGTTCTGAAATCTTGTGGTGAGCAAAGGAGGTACATGCTTGCCACAACAATCCACTTTCCCATGGACACAAATACATGTGGTATTATCATAGACTCACATTTCCTTACAGGAAGTGTGAAGGATTTATCTTTGAAAATTTGTTTTATTTTTAGAATTATTTCTGAAAACTGTATTCATTTTTTTTAAAGATTTATTTTATTTTGTATTGGAAAGTCAAATATACGGAGAGGAAAGTCTTCGATCCATTGATTCACTCCCCAAGCGACCATGCACTGATCCAAAACCAGAAGCCAGGAGCCTCCTTGGGGTCTCCCATGTTGGGTACAGGTTTTTTTTTTAAGGAAGCAATAATGTAATGGATAAATATTACCCCCACTGTGTACATCGTGATACAAGCGAAGGTTTTCTTGACAATAGTTTGAAACCGTATTGAAAGAATAGCTCCTGCGGCAGGCATTGTGTACATGGTAGACCTGCTCTCTTTGAGGCCAGCTTACAGATATTGGTTCAATCCTGGTCCCCTCTCCGATCTAGCTCCCTGCTAACGTGCTCGGGAAGATAGACACATATGGCCCCGGTCTTTGTGCTCTTGTGCCAATATGGCAGAACCAGGAGAAGCTCTCTGCTTTGAACTGGCCAAGTTCGTGATAGCAAAGCAGCAGACGAAAAAACTCTCCCTTTCTCTGTAACTCTGTTTTTCAAATAATTAACATTGATTTAAAAAAAAAAGAATAGCTACTGAGAGGGAAATAAAGCATGAAAGAAAAACAGTAATAGTTTCAATACCTTTGTTACAGTTTAGGCATTTTAGATGTCAAAATGAGATTATTGGAGAAATATAAAGTGATAGAGAATTATTAGACATTTTTATAATCTGTTTGAACATTTTACATGTTCTCAAGACTTAATGTAGCAATCAATTTATCCTAATGGGGTGCTGGCACTGCATGTGGAGGATGAGCCTGTTGAGCCATGGCATTGGCCCCACCCCCAACATTGCCTTCTGATTCGAACATTTGGGGACAGACATTAAGATGTGGTCTGAGATGCCCTTATTTCCTAATTACATCCTGGGATTGTGTCCTGACTGTGCTCTGGATGCCCTGGAAGTCTGCAGTGGCAGCTCCCGTGATTGAGTCCCTTCTATTCACAGCCCTGAACTTAATTATCGAATCCTAGCTCAGTGCCCAGCCCTTATAGACAATGGAGAATTAACCAACCGGTCCATGAGTTATTTTCTTGTATTTTAATGTTTTATTTAGGGATCTCTCTCTCTTTTACTTATAATGTGTTGCCAATCTGCTAATGTGTGAAACTCCTTTCATGGTGGATCATTTTAATGCATCATTAATAAAATGAGAACTCTTTCTGGTCAGTCATGACATATTTTGAGCAAGTTTCATTTTTAAGACACATTTCTCTCCCATTTACTAAGTGACAGTTATTCAGAGACACTTCCCTGTTTTGTTTGTACAAAGTTTAATTTCTTTTTTAAATTTTGAATTTTTTCATACAACTCCATATAGTCCGGGATTCCCCTCCCCCAGTCCATCCTCTGAATAATTTTTCCCATATTATCACTACAGTACATTTCTTCATAAGGAGTTACAATTCCATCAGTCTGCTGTTTATTTAAGTGTGCCCCGACATTGCTGGTACAGAGACAATGTCAGACAGTGCATCATCCCATTGTCTAGATGTGTCCAACACATTCATTGGGAGTCCATCTTTAGTTTGGAAGTAGGGATGCATGCTGCATTTTGTCTTACATCTGAACATGTATCCTCCGTTACTCCATCACTATACATTCCAATTTGCATGATGGCTTCCTTATATTAGAGCGAACATATGGTATTTGCCTTTTGGTGACTGACTTACTTCACTGAGCCTAATGGTCTCTAGTTGGGATCATCCTGTTGCAAACGGTATAATTTCCTTCTTTTTTAATGGCTGAATAATAGTCCATGGAATAGATAGATGTACCAGTTTCTTAAACCACTCCTCTTTGGATGGGCATCTGAACTGTTTCCATGTCTTCTCATATGATCCCCTTCTCATATGTGGTTTTACTTTCTTTTGGATATATTCTTAGGAGCAGGATAACTGGGTCATATGGCAGGTTTATTTGCAATTCTCTAAGCACTCTCCAAACTGATTTCCGTAGTGGTTATACCAGCCTGTACTTTCCTGTTTTGTTTGTGCAAAGTTAATTTCTTTCTGAAATTAACATATGAGAAACAGACAACTCCCATCACTGATTCACTCCTCAGATGCCTGCAAGAGCTGCAGCCTGAATCAAGGGTGTTCGGTGCCAGTCTCCTATGTGGGTGGCAGGACTCCAGCTACCCCAGCAGTCAGTGCTGACTCGCAGCGTCTGTAGCAGCAGGATGCTGGAGCCAGGAGGAACCAAGGCAGGGGTGGAAACAAGGTATTCCAATGTGGGATGCAGGCATGTGGTTAGCCCAAACACCCACACTACTAACTTTTTATTTTTGTCTTTGTCAACAACCTTTGGTTGTGTTTCTAGCTGCTTCTATGTAGCCCTTTCTTCTTTCTGGAAATTATTTCCCTGTCCTTATGAATTATCCTCCACCCTGTCTCTGTTAAATTCAAGCAAATCCATGTCTTCCCATTTCTTTAAACAATATTTTTTTGTGAATCCAAATTCCACTTTAAGAAAAGAAAGCCAATCACCTTAGTAGATGCCATAAATACCAACATATTTTATTTATTCATTGGATTGGCACAAAAGTATGTTTAATCATTAGACTTGAATAGTGTGTTCCCCAACTAACTTAGAAATATTGCTAACCACTAAGATAAATTTTATTACACAAATTCACAATAAAATGAAAAAAATATTTTGTTAACCTAATCATGCTAAAGCAAATAAAATCAATGGGAGAGTTGGAACTTTTTTTTTTTTTTTAGTATTTTGGATACTGCTAATATTCCCAAGATCTTTTAAAATGTGCAACAGATGAAAACAACCTGATACCTGTATAAATAGGTCTTAGGAATCCAATGAATGGACAGCCATGCAGAACACAGATGCATCAAATTAATACACTTATTGACTTCTGATATACTGGTAGTGTTCATTGGAACGATGATTCTAAATTACTTATCTGCTGGATCCCATCCAAGACTCTGGACCACCATTAGATCACTTCACATGTGTCAAACATAGATATTAACATCTGTGACTGTTGTGCTTAGCTCATTATGTTGAATAATGTTACCTTTTTTCTCCTTGATCCACAAAACATACATTGATTAGCCATATTCTTCAAGTTTTTAAAAAATGCTTAATATATGGTGGTTTTTATATTCTCTTTGATCTTCCCAGAATTCATTTTTTCCTTCCATAACAAAAAATTCTCAAATGAAAACTGTATTAATTGTTCACTTGAGTTAACAAGAGCAGTTGGCTTGGGATATTCTTAATTGTGGTTAAGAACATCTGTTCAAGTTCAACGAATCACAGTGAGGAGACCAGAATTATTTACAAAGGATCATTTATTAAACTTTTTTTTTTTACAAAATACAAAGACTGTTGTCTGCATGAATAGATCACATAGGAAAAAAAATAATGCATTTTTACTGAATTTCAAGACATTCATCATTTTTTTCATCTATCCCCTTGCAGGATCCAGTCTGCTTTGCTCCTTTTCTGACACTATTGCCGATACAGAAGAAACATGTGATTGCTTAGTAAGTCATATTCATAACAGTCAACATTTTATAATAATAAAATCATACAATGTCTGCCACAACAAAATTCATTCCGCAAGGTAACTGATTTGCCTATGATCCTATTTTTTTTCAAGCTATAAGATAGGAAGAATTGAAGAGGAGCTAGGTAAGTTTTATAATAATGTGGTAGCAGCAGTTGATAGTAAATGCAACATAAGATTTGTTTTGTCTGTGGTACAGGATATGTCCTATCAGACGCTAACATATCTCTTTCTACTTGTACACAGGTAAGCACATACGGGTTTTCTCTGGATGACAAGATGCGTAAAAGAAAGGAAGCAGGTCTGGCTGGCATTTTGAGGGCCTATTTCCATTGACTAATATGAATGATTCGCTAGGATTAGTGAAGACAGGAAAATGGCTTAAGGATAATATATACAGAGTTAAAATACATTTTTTTTAAAAAAAAATCCACTTGAGTGATTTCAGGCACTGTGGCTGTTTGGGATAAAATGTTTTATGGTTTACTCTGGATAAAAAAATTCAGTGCAAGCAAAAACACATACCTGCCCACTGTCATACACGTGAACTCCAACACCTGGAATGTTTCAATCAGGTTCACTTCTGGTATTTCCACTCTGGAGGTCACTTGAGTAGAAATGTCTCATCATTGGCTGTTGGTAGCCATTGGCTTTTCAGTGCACGGAAAAGCAAGCAAGCATACCTGTCATACACATGAACTCAAACATTTAGAATATTCAAAGCAAGGTCACCTTCTCATCTTCCCGGAGGCATCTTCAATCAGTGGCACTTAGTATAAGCCCTCTATACATCATGAGAAACAGACACGGGACGTTTGAATTTAATAACGTTAGAAACCACAGCCACAAGCATCGCTCTGTGTAAACGCTGTTGAATAAGGAACTGAACTTCCAGATGTTGGACCACGACACTTCTTTCCTGAGAATAGAGCTGGTCCCGCCTGTGCGTATCATAAGTGCGCGTGCTCCGAGCTGTGGTCACTGTCATGGCTGTCGTCGTTGGCTAAGGAGTCCCCGGTCTGTTGGAGGGTGGCCGCCCCGATGCCCGACAGCTCCGAAGGGAGGAGGGTCCCCTTTTTCACGTTCACCAGTTCCTTTTCTCGTGCAGCGGCGCCTTGCTGGCCTCCTTTCACCCTCTTCCACTTCATTCTCCTGTTCTGGAACCACACTTTGACCTTGAGCAAGGGAAGGGAACACACAGGGCAAAGCAGAAAGTTAGATGGAGATGCTCTCACCTCGTCACCAAGGAAACAGTTTTCCCAAGGCTTGCATGAAGACACCGAGAAGGAGGAGGGAGCACAGAAACCCTCCGGTTGCTGGTGGATGACGATACTTGGGACACTTTCAGAGCATGCGTGCCAGTCATGACCCTTTTGCAGTTTACAACAATGAGGACTCATTACATCTCCACCTATCAATGTTTCCTTTGTAAATTTAAGACGAATCGTAATGATAAGTAGAAATAGACAAGAAAAACCTTGCCATTCAAGATATTTCCATGGCATTTGCCTCTTATCACCGCTTGGGGACCCTGATAAACATGCAAAGGGAACTATCTAGGTGTGTGTCCACACGTTTCATCAATGGATTGGAGGTTCTGTGGAATGTTCATCTTAACATACTCATGGGAAAACTGTTTTTCGAAGTTGTATCAGTCCAGTTGCCCCACCATTCAAGGACATGACTTCAAGGTGACTCAGATTTTTGCCAACATCTGGATGTTCAGTTTCAGCATTGTTTCTAGCACAGAAACCATAAATAGTATTCCCACTGTGTTTTTAGTTGGCTCTTTCTGTTATTAATGAAATAAAGCATCTTTAAAAGCTATGGCCAAGTGCCTGGTGCTGTGGCTTAGGGGTACCACTTTGGAGCCTCTGTGTACCATATTGGAGTACCAGTTCAAGTCCTGGCTAACTTTGCCTCCACCCCAGCTCCAAGCTCATGTGCCTGGGAAGTGAACTAGTGTGTGAGATCTCTACTCTCCTCTCCTCTCCCCTCCTCTCCCCTCCCCTCCCATCCTCTTCTCTCCTCTCCTCTCCTCTCCTCTCCCCTCCTTTCCCCTCCCCTCCCTTCCCTTCCCCTCCCCTCTGCTCTCCCCCTCCTCTCCCCTCCTCTCCCCTTCCCTGCTCTGCTTTCCCCTCCTCTCCTCTCCTCTCCTCTCCTCCCTCCTCCTCTCCCCTCCCCTCCCCTCCTCTCCTCTCCTCCCTCCTCCTTTCCCCTCCCCTCCCCTCCCTTCCCTTCCCCTCCCCTCTCCTTCTTCTCCTCTCCTCTCCCCTCCGCTCCCCTCTGCTCCCCTCCACTCCCCTCCCTTCCCCTCCCCTCCTCTCATCTTCTCTCCTCTCCCTATCCTTCTCTACCCAGACTTCTTTCTTCCTCCTTACCTAAAAAGTAGATAACTCTATTTTTTTTAAGAGAACATCCCACTTCCATGAAGTAGAGTCTGAATTCTTTATCAAAATCAGGCTTACTGTTCATAGTTTTAAAATATGTCTAACTGCTAATTCAATATTTTTTCAGTTATATGAAGTCTACTATCTTCTCTCGATTTGTCCTGGTTTCTGCATTCTATTCTTGGAGTATTTCTTGAGGATAAGAAAATCTTAATGCATGTAAATTTATAGAGCGTTTCTATTATGTTTAAAGATTTTGAAAACTACTCTCTGCTGAGGTCACAGACCTATTCTCTCAGGTCTTCTGAGAGCTTTAAGGTTTGCTGTTCAAACTAAATTGACCAAAATACGAAGCACTGACTTTAGCCTAAAGTAGAAAGTTAACATATTCACTTTATACTGCATGGATAACAAGTTATTCTAGATATCTTTATTGGACCATTTTCCCAGAGATTGCTGTAATAACTCTGTCTGACACCAAGTTTCCACATGGGAGGGGGTTTCCAAAATTGCATGAAATTAAATGATAAGGTGTGCTTTTCTGTGTGCACTCTGATTTTTACCCCACCCACTACCCCTTGCCCTCCCTCCCTCCACCAAAGGTTTATTCTATTGCTTTGAAAAGCACAGTGACACAGAGACAGAAACATCTCTTGATTCACTCCTTCCTCCCAAAATGGCCACAACCGTGATGGACTGAGTGTGCCTGGAGCCCTGGAGCCCAGGTGAGTGGGCTCCCAGGTGGATGGCATGAAGCCAGTCCTTGGGCTATCCTTTGCTGCTTTCCCAGGCAAACGAATGGGGAGTAGAATTTGAAACAGAGGAACCAGGACTCAATCCTGTTTACAAACAGTGGCATAAGGCAAAGCTGCCTCTGTACCTGCACTCTGAAGTCCTCACAACTGCATAGCTTTCTATTGCATGCTGTTTTGCACCTTTGCCAGTTTTTTACCTGTGAGAAAACTACACTGTCACTGCCCCTACTGTAACTGTATAACATATCTGTACCTGATGCTCTGTTTTATTCTTCAGCATCAAAAACGCTGAGAATATTCTGCATTTTCATTTCACAATCCATATCAGTTTCGGTTATTACTCAGTGCCGAGGAAAGTGTAAAGAGAACTGTATGACATTTCCAAAGACATATTGAAATTGAAAGATTCTCAACTCTGTATTGCCCCTGCTTTCCCTGATTTTCTTAATGCCATTGGGCACATTTTATCAGCTTTCCATGCAATAGTCTACTTGAAAATAAGCATAATACAACATAGTAAAAAATATTGATGTAAAAAGCCAGTGTTGGCATTCATGCTTTATTAATCCTTACCAATCAAAAGGATCACTCCCTGCTTTGGTACTATAACCATTTAGAGATGGACGCACACAGTACAACTGGTATTTTTACACTATTTCTAAGAGCATTTCCCTAGGCGTTGTCTTATAAATTAGCAAATTAAGGCAAATTTTATATGACATGACTAAAATTTCACAGATGGAAACCAAGATGCCAGGATTTAAACCCAGGACTTCATCTGCCTCCGGATTCAGGGTTCGGTACTTTCTTTTTGTTTCCTATTATTTCTCAAACTCCTGTTTTTAAAGCTTTCAGGAACATGGAGTCTACGAGTGCCATCCGCATGATTACTGTCCCTCGGGTCACTCTCCCACTTGGTTGTAATTGAGTTTGCAAATGTGGTCCCATTTTCCTGTCCTGTCCTTCAGGTAATTACACTACTCAGCCTAATCATGGGGCCAGTCTGACAGCACAGGTTACAGTAGATCTATTCCACATGAGTTGGGGCCTACTCTTGGCTTCACTTCTGAGTTTTTGTGTGAATTTGAGAAAATTGCACTTTTCTCTGCTTCAATTTTCATATTTGCAATATTGGAATAATGAGGCTTCCAAGATTCTCCACAGGGATATTTTCTTCCATTGACAATTCCAGATGGAAAAAAGCATGTAAGTCATCATCATAATCATTGTCACCAAAACTGAAATGTTCAGGCAAAATCATCTTGACAGAGAAACCGATGGGAGGAATAGAGTTCCCCAACCCTAGGAAAGAAGGATGGTAATTCTGTAATACCAGGTTATACCTGTCGTGTGCAATTGTAATGGAAGAAAATCTAGGTATACGGTAGGGATTCTAGAAATGCCACTTTAGACTTCAAAGATAATAGCTCTTATCTTGTTTGTTTTCTGCCTTGACATGGGAAATGTTACTACTTAATGTCTTTAAATGTATTTCTTCTTATTTATTTGAGAGAGAGAGAGAGAGAGAAAGAGAAGGAAAAACCCTCAGTCAGTCCACTCCCTGAATGTCCATACACTCCACCATGGTCAGGCATGGTCAGGAGCCAAGCACTCCATCTGCAACTCCCACATGGGGTGCAGGGATCCAAGTAATTGAGATACCACCTGCTGTCTCCCAAGGCAAGCATTCACAGGGAGTTGTTCAAGAAGTGAAGGGAGGACTGAGACCCGGGCCGTTTTTAATATGTGGGCATCCCAAGAGCTGGCTTAACAAGGGCACATCACATACCATTGTTTTCTGTTTCTAAAAACAGGTATCATAGTTGAAAATGCAATCTATATATATACAAACATACTAGGAGAATATACATACACAAACATACACATGAACATTTGTATATACATATTTATATTACAGGGCACATTTGATTATTTTACATTAATTCTAGAACTTGGTAGATTTTTTTTTAAGGATTACACTGCATAATTGATTCCAAAGAGCCAGAAAGTAAGTAATGGAACAAAAGGGACGATCCACGATGGACACATCTTATAGAAAAATAGAAAGATAAATGCAGAACACCTAAAGTCAACACATCCAGAATTCTTTTCAAATATGCCAAGAAGAAAAGAGTGAGTTAAAATAAGAGGAAGAAGATATGGGGGGTGGACATGTTTCTTTATCAGCACCCCAAAATGAGCAAACACAATCTGAAATAACTTCACATTATAAATCAATATTACTAAAAAATAATGGCATCATGGTAGGTTTCTAAATGATGGAACTTTATAATTCAATGTAGCATCATTTTATTAATTCAGCTTCATTGATGAAAAACGTCTTTCTACTTTTGTTTTTAAGACAACTGATATAAGAGGCAGCTTGAAAATGTTTACAGAAAGTGCATGCTACAGAAAAAGTATTCACTGTATTCAAAAACCTTTTTACAAAGATAAAGTTTTAATTCTATTTTCCACAAACTTTTTGACTTTTTTTCTGTATCTAAAATGCTTTTGATTTTCATTTTCCAAGTAAATATTCTAACTATTTTTAGTAAAATCTGTCATATAGTGTATGTTTAATGTAATATTCTGAATTTTAAAACTGCGTAAGCTATAGAGAATGAAAGAAACCACATTTCCTCAGTGACTCTTAATCTCTATTTATCCAAATATTTCAAGATGTTACTAAATGTCCAGTTACCAGCACTGTGATAGATAAAACAAGAAAAGCATTTGAGTGAAGAATGCAAAAATAAACAAAATGTAAACTTCCACTCAGGCACTCAGTCAGGAGACTTGCATATCACACATAGCAGATGACAATCCATGAGGCTTTTATCCCAGGTAAAGGTAGCTTCTAATCAGGTTATACAGTATTTCCCCAATGTGTTTCCTGTCCTGCCATGTGTCACTCAGAGTCCCTTGAAAAGAGATACCCCAGAGGTCCAAGTGATGGTCAAGAGTGCTGCATCCCTGACCTTTTACATGCTTTATACTACTGCAGGGATGCCCCCTGCCCATCAGATG